AGGGCTTATGGTTCTCGTCTCGTTCGCTATAGGAGTGACAGTCAAATACCACTGTTTGGTCAGCTGTGCGCAAGAATTCTAAAAAAAAACAAAAGAAAAACACTCAAACGATGACTGATACTTTAATAAACATGCGTAACATTCTAATTAAATAAAATGTGCATATCAGTACGAAATATTACACCTGTTGGTTGATTAGTTAGCATACCAGTACAAAAATAATACACATTTTGGTTGATTTCGTGTTAGAAACCAATATAAAATTATTTTGTATTAGTGCGACAATTTTAATTAATTACATACATACATAATACATATTTAATCAATTCAAATTAACGTACTAATACAAAATAATGCACATACTGATAGTTAAAAGTTAACATACAGATAAAACACATTTAACTGTAGTGTACATACGAATATATAATAATACATATTCTTGCTAATTAAACAGCCTCGGAGGAAGCAATATTTTCCTGGTAGAACCATCAAGTGTGCAAATTAATCTAGGGGATTCGAGAGCATTCCCCCAGAAAAAATATTATTTGTAAAATCACGCGATCTTTAGCCTAAAATGTGGTATGTCTTTAACCCTACCGCTTCCGCCGGCCTAGTTAAAATTGATATCTGAATGAAATATGGGATACTTACACTGACATTCTGATAGAGACATAATTACACTGATTTATTTTTCTCCAGATACCAACATAGAATGTGTAAACTCGGTACTGATCTCTTGCTCGCTTCTTTATATTTGAGAATTTTCGTGAAAGATACACAGACGGCTATGTGCACATAGCTGTTCCTAATTTTGAACTAATGTACTAGAGGGAAGGCAGCTAGTCAAGAACACACACACCACCAACTTTTAGGCTACTCTGCTCTTACTTAAAAGTTGTATTTGACCGTTAATCTTCTAGCTTTCTCTCGGCCCCGATGTGAGTTTCACAGCATGGTTGTGTGTTTTCTTTAGCGCAAAGCTTCATAATATACTATTTTCGCTTTGGCCACCACGGAGAATCGAATCCAAGATTTTAGCGTTGTAAGTCCGTAAGTTAACCAATGACTGGAAGACGATTGATAGTCTCAACACTGAACAACGCCCGACTCGTTGCCTGTGGTTGTGCAATTGTCTGTAATACACAAAGCACATTATCAAGATAAAATATTAGACAGTGTTTTCTGAGTATAAAATTAACTAATAATAATACAATTTACAAATTTGATAATTCTTTTTATAAGCAAAAGTGTGAAAGTGTTTCACATTTTCAACAGTGATACACATTTTTAATGTATATGATACGACAGGAAGTGTAATTTAAGAACACATTACAAAACATTAAGTATAATGCTATGGTCGTTTAAAGATTGGATCTGTTGCATTATGTGTGTTTAATATTTGTCAACTCTCAAGCATTTTGAGTGAAATTAGCGCATTTATCTCATTACTCAGATTAGCGGGCAATGAAAATCTCACGCATTCAAAAACGTTTACCAGAAATATGTTTCATCATTTTAGATGAAATCATAAATTTTCATGCATGAACTGTTGAAGAAAGCCAAAGATACGACAATGAAATACAACATGACTTACAAGAAATAATAAATCACATAAATTATTGTAGTCTTTGCTCTTTTTTTTTTACAAGAGTTCATTTCCATGTTTAGTTACACGTTTTTCTTAAATAGAAAATCCAGACACCTGTTAACAGTCATATTTTTATGCTTAAATAATCCGGAAATTTGGTCCGTTCTAGCGAGCTACGAAATCTCATTCATTGTCATTACCCAAAGTTTGGTAGGTCACTGTTTATCTAACTTCTAAGCACAAGTTGTGTGTGTGTGGATGTATGTATATATATATAAGACAAAAAATGATGTTTTCTGAACATAACTGTATAAACAGTTAATTGGTTTTTGTGGGCTGCTTGAGTCGTTATTTGTCAAGCGTCGAGTTGTTGATTTACGACACAGCTAGCTTTTACGTTGCCGTTTTTTCAGATAGGAATCAAGGCTTTCCTTTCACGAAACTTGTCACATTAAGTCTCAGAGCAACAGATAGTTTGTTAATGTTCTTTAAAATCATAATGTACGATATATTGCATTCGTATTGCTTAATTAATTCAGGACACACATAGCGGTGACAGACTTAACTTCCTTTCTCTTGCTGCATAGCTTGAGAAAGAAAAAAGCAAACATATGTGGGCGTGTTCTGGCCTACAACTCCCCATCATTTGCTGTCTGCAACCAGTTGTGGGAAAGTGGTTGCTCTATGGTTGAAAGAAAATACTACTTGGGCCGATAAGTAAAAATTTATCGCTTGATGATGGTATTCCAGCCCCCACGGAGTGCTATAAACTTCAATTTAGTTAGACAGTAGGAAAATTTAGTCTGACAGTAAAAAAAGAACCATAGTTCTGGGGTTAAAAATATACTAGAACTTCTCCGCAAATATTTGAACCCTATCCTCCATCCATACTGTCATCTAACCAAAAGTTTTTTTATCATTTTGTTTTGTCATTTCATATCAGCCCAAGGGGGCTAGCAAGAAGTCAGAAGGATACACCCTCTCTTCGGCTAAGAGATGTAAAGAGACTGGCGATTGATAAAGAACGAAATTTGTTCTATAGATAGACGCGTATGCCATTTGAAATCTTTGCATATACTAAGCACTTGAATTTCTTGGCTCCAATGGTTTGCGCCATCTTGAATTTCCGTCGGAGCGGCTTCGAGATTGTCGTGGTTCTACGCAGATTTTTAGTTTCTAATAGATTACGTTGAATTCGTATATCTTAAAATGGATAAACTCAAAATATCAAACATTTTTTTAGCAATGACCACTTAAAATTAATTTTCTAAAAAAGAAACCTCAAAATGCCGAAATTCCCAAAATCTATAACAAAGTGCGCGTGTATTCAGTTTATTAGCATGCGTCGTCTACCAGCCGAAAATCATCTGCTATTGCACTTTTGTTATTACATATTTGAGTTTACCTTCATTCGAAGCGGGAAAAAACTCTTTCAGATTTGATTGTATATTTTAAGCCTAACGTTATATCTCGCTGGAGTGGTAGACATAGTTTGTTTATATGAGCAGCGATTTAAGCTTACTACAAGTAGTTTTAATCGCGAATGTTTTTTATCACCACTTGCGAAAGGTTGCTAATCTTATTTTTTTAGGCGGTACTGTCCTAATTAAAATAGTTCATTACGGAATGGGCCATCCAATAAGCCTTGGCCACGAGGTCCAAACGTTAGCCATATCGTCTTGCCCTTTAAAAAAACGAATACTCTGCTGATCATAGGCCTGCGGCGGTAGCACTTATAGAATATTATATATTTACATGCACCTAGGCCTTGTAGAAAAGCTAGGTTATGAAGTGAGGCCTGTGATTAAGAGAGTGTTATACATTGCAGTCGTTGGGGAACACTTTCAAGAAAATTATGCTTGGTATTCATGGCGGAAAGTTCCAGATTTCTCTTACTGCTTTCTCAACGTGGGCCTTTTTTAACATAACTTAAGAAGTAAAGCGTAAAAAATGGTGGGCTTCATTCTTAGATTATTTGCTACTATTTTATATTAGTGTATAATAGATTGGTTTGTTATGGATTTCGCGCAAAGCTACACAAGGGCTATCTGCGCTAGCCGTCCCTAATTTAGCAGTGTAAGAGGGAAGGCAGCTAGTCCTCACCACCGACCGCCAACTCTTGG